GGAGAAGGAGACTTTGCGTCAGGCTGTAGCTTGAATCACTTGTGCTGGACCAGAGCATTGAAGGTAGTTTTATTTCATTGCTGTTTTACTGCTCTCTTAGTGTAGTGCTGCGGCATGAAAAAAATACAGCAGTAAGTTTGGGCTAGTTTGTTCTGTTTGCCAGAGATCCTGAGTTAATAGGCTGAGCGCGTAACTGAAATCACTGATGTTCTTGTTCCATTATTTATTTTGTAACAACATCTCTTTCCAGAAATAACCAACAGTCTGTTACAGAAGATTTGAAACCATTTTTCTTTATTGCACCTAAACTGGTACAAGAAATGCAGGCTGACTGGAGGCAATTGTCATGTTAGGGTTCATAATTATATTTGTCAGAGAATTGTCCAGGATAATAAAAAAAAAAAAAGGAAAAAAAAATGTTCTTATTTTGTAATCTTTCAAAAAGATATCCTATCTTTGCCCTCTTTAGCACATATTAGTACAGGAAATATGTTTCTGTCATAGAACAAGAAATAAATGAAGCATCATAAAAAAGATTTCCATTTTTTGTACATGGAACATGCAAATATCTGTCCTTGCTTTATACCCATCATGAATGATTTTTTTTTCCCTGTTACAAAAATGAATTTTAAGTTGCATCAACTTATGTAGAGATGAAGTCAGGGATATTTTCAGCCAATACTTAGCTACAAAGTTCAGTTTCTCTTTCTTACTCCTCTTGGCTTCCTGCTGTTATACAAAAATTTCAAACTTGTGGAGGTGCCAAGCGACTTTTATTCTGCCTGCGTTGCTGCTTCCTTTCTTCTGCATCTTGCGCGTTCCTGATTTTTAAGTTGCATCAACTTATGTAGAGATGAAGTCAGGGATATTTTCAGCCAATACTTAGCTACAAAGTTCAGTTTCTCTTTCTTACTCCTCTTGGCTTCCTGCTGTTATACAAAAATTTCAAACTTGTGGAGGTGCCAAGCGACTTTTATTCTGCCTGCGTTGCTGCTTCCTTTCTTCTGCATCTTGCGCGTTCCTGATAAGGGAGCTTCAAAGCTGGGTTTGCTCGCGAGGAGCGTGTGAGCCTCTGTGGTTTTGGATGCCTGTGATTAACTGCATGGGCTGCTTGGACAGACAAGACGGCCCACGTATCGTTCTGGACTGCAAAGATTATATTCACAAATAGATAAATGTTGGGTTTTTTCTTTTTTTTTTTCTTTCTTTCTTTTTTTTTTTTCTTCAATGCAAGAGAAACAAGAAGTTGCTAGAGAAGATGCAACCAGGCCACAACTTCATGTTTTTCCCCTAGCTCCACTTCTTGTGCTGCTACCCGTCAGGGATGATATCCCTCCTGGAGCACAGAGACACATCTAACCTCCTGCAAGTGCAGGGGATATCCTCACGTTCTGAGATGGCACCCACCATCAGCTTAGAAACAATTTAGAGCACAAAGCCAATTTATTAGTAAATCCCCACATTTAGGAGTCATCAAACAGGTATTACTGGCCCAGACATTTAAGGCCTGTGAAAGCCAGCATTGTAATTCTGATCTGGTGAAGCTGAGGGGCTGCTTTGTTGCTTTGCAGTTAATTTTATGCCAGTGGTGGTGCAACTGATACCGGATACCAGAATATTTGGTGGTGATATCTACTTAGCAATCATTCCAGTGCTGTGAAAATATTGACAAGCTTCCAGGATGAGACTTGCCCTGATTAGGGAAATCAAAGAATAGTTTTCCCAGCAGGCCTGCAGTTAGCTCATCCAAATTGCTTCTGTTTTAATTGGCATGCGCTTCCTTGAAGCAGCCAGATGATGAAAAATATTTGATGCAGGCGCTACAGGATTGGAAGCTTGTTCCTTGGGACAGCCCCCTGGAAACATGTGTGTGCGCACCAAAAACACGAAAAATTGTCCTGGTCTGGAGGAAGAATGTAGCTTTAAATGTAACCTTGCAGAGAGCCAAATCAGTGGGAGGGGTTGAGTGACATTACTCCCGAACAATGTTCAGTAGTTCATTTGGATTGAAAATACAGATGTCACCTGAGTATAAATTTTTTATGATCAGGATTTCTTGGACCCCAGCAGACAGAAACCCCACCTGAGCTTGATATTTGGGTTTCTGCCTTCCCTCTGCTCCTGCTGGAAATCCTGCGCCTCTCCTGATGGGGAAATACTGTCCTATCCCAATCCCAAGTATCTTATTTTGAGCTTTTGTTGCAGAATTATCCCCCGTGGGAAGGGCAGGGTGGTCGCGTGTTGGGCTCACCTCCAGGCTCACAGGCGTTGTTCCTGGCTCCTCATACAAGAGCTTCGCGGATCAGGTCCAGCCTCCGGGTCTTGTCGCGTGGCGCCGGAGAGGTCCGTGACGGCGAATAACGTTCGGGGAGCCTTGGGCTTTTGCTGCTTTGCCCTCCACCTTTCAGAGCGCGCGGCGGCCTTCCCCGGTGTCGCAGTGTTGGGTGAGTCATGAATGGCACAAGCTCCAAGAGATTTGTTTTTAAAGCACTGAAGGCAGCACAAGCTTCATATTAGTTGTTTATTGATTAATATTTAATTGAAGGTGAAATAAAAAATTAAGCAGGCAAATGACTCAATCACATGCTAAAAAGCAGCATTTGTGGCTTGTTGTGGCTGGCCAAGGAAAGTGGAATCTCTAAAAAGAAGGGAAGGGAAGAGCAAGGCTGGCACAGTTTGTTGAGGGAGGCCCTTTGATCGGGGTGGTGGACATGGCAGCGTCCCATGGAGACGTGTCGTGCAGGTGACCTCGCTGGCACTGAGTTTGGTGACACTCGCCACCACTAATGCGATTGGCAGAGGGTTCTCATGAGAAGAAACCAATAATTGTCACTTTACAGGGGTTTAATGGAGCAGTTATGGGAATTTATATTTTTATTAGAGCAGCTTAAAAAAAAAGGAAAAAGAGGAGCAGCACATCCCTTTCAAATCCTCTGTTAAGTGAACATCATACTTTATCTTTGTTTATTTTTTGAACATTATGGCTGTTACAGGTAGCTAGTGTTCATGGTCTTTATTTGTACAAATCCTAGGAAAAGATCTTCCTCTATCCTCAGCAAGTAAGTGGCAGCCTGTCATTTATTTATTCTTTCCCATTGGTGCCTTATTTTTTTCACAGCATTTGGGGGAAGGTGGGAGGACTCGTGCTGTTGGTGGCGGCTGTGGCGATGCGGAGCTGCTGGGGTTCAGGGCTGGCTCGTGGACAGTTGTGACTTCTTTTCTTATCCTTCCCCAGATAACACTACAGGCTATTCCCTTCTTTTATTCAGAATCGTGCTCTGTCCTGTTTAAAATCAGAAGCAGCAATAAGTGAATAAGGTTTTGCCCATGTGCTGCACATGGAGTGTTGTCTTGGGATAGCTCGATACTGCAAAAACTGTTTGGCCTCCAGGAAAGGATGGTCAAGTGTTGGGGATGATGCAGGGAAGCTCTTCCCTGGGTATTGGCCCCTCTCTGTTACTGCTTCTCTCTGTTGCTTGTTGTAAGCCACATCTTGTGCTGAAATCTTGTTCCTTTTTAAACTTGGAAAGCAACATGTGGAAAAAAAGGTTGGCAGAAGTTCCTAAGACTGCAATACATGGCAGTAAATGGGATGGGCAGAAGCCCGTAGCACTTAACTGCATCCTGTAGTACCTCAGTGAAACTTCGGTACTTTTATTTTTTGTTTTTCATTGCAATCAAAGAATCATTATCTGTGAATGGTTGAGGTTCAGTTTGTCTGACTGAGCAATGCGCATTAGAGAGCTCCAAAGAGGGACTAATGACTGTGCTGGGCTTGTTCCCCGTGCCCTGGCAAGGGCAGGGCAGTTTGCTCAGTGCATTGCCAAGCCCCCATGTTATGGCAGCTGTAGGTGGGCAGAAGGTTACAGTTCTGTGAATGTAAGGTTGGAGCTTGAAATAATTGGGGGTCCTTTTTATGTCCTTGAGCCGTGCGCTCATTTGCAGCCCCTGTTATTGCACCTATGGAGTTCAGAATCACGCTTTGCCCAGGATGGATTCGCCAGTCTGCCGACCACCAGGCAGATGCTGCTGTCCTCTGAAAGTCTTTTTTATCACAAAAATAAACTATTTAATCAGTGTGCAGGTGGTAACCTGCTTGAGACAAAAAAGAAACCTTTAATCCCTGTTATAACTCGTGTGTTTTGGGGCTGCCCAGGCCTTGGCAAGGCCGCCCTAACAAAGGAGAGCGAGTCAGCAGACAGGCTCTTGTTCAGGCCAAGACACTGCAGTGTTTTCTATCTTCTCTGGGGCTTGTTTACCTCTGTAGAAGGCAAGGCTGCAAAATCTAATGTATTTAAATGTATTCTGAATTTGTAATGATTGTTCCTAGTTTTTCCACCAATTTTACTTTACGGAAGAGTAGTTTTTTAAATGGTTTGAAGTATTAAAAAATAATAGCGTTTAATAATTTTTTGCTACTTTGCAGTCTTTATGAGGGTTTTTGTGCTCGTCAGATGAAAGATTGATGTGGCTGCATGAACCGGAGCACATGCTGGAGGTTCATTTCGGATGCGGGACTAATGGCTTACTCATTAATATTCATGAGCCATCTCATTTAGCGGGTGCTCTTGGGGCTCGAATGAAGTAACAGACCCTGCTCTTGGTGCTGTAGCCAGAGAGAGCTCTGTGCATGACAGAGCCGGGGTATCCTCGTCGCTGGCGACAGCTCTGAGGACCTGCAGCATTTTGTAGTCCATCTCTATGCTGCCTGGCTTTCCTTAAATGCAAAATCAAACTGCAGTGGTCCTGCGAATGAATGTGCAACCCTGTTTGTAGAGTGTTGGTGCTCTCCTGTGACACCTCCTTTCTGGTTGTTCCCAAAGGTCCCGAGGAAGCAATGACCATGTAGATGCTACAGCTCGCGAGCAGCAGAATGGGAAGCAGTGAATGGAGTGGAGCCGGTCTGCAGCCTTGAGAGCAGCTTTTCTGCGGACCACGAGCCACTCAGGGACACCTGGCACGTCAGAGGCATCTCCCCTCCGCTTGCTGGACAAACTGGATTCTTTTTAATATCTTAGGTCGGAATTTGAGATTTCTTTTCTTCAATTTTTAAGCAGTTTTGAGCTTGTATCAACTGTAAAGAGTGGAGCAATATAATCAGCAACCATGGGTGACATGACAAACAGCGATTTTTACTCCAAGAACCAAAGAAATGAGGCCAACCATGCAGGAGAGTTTGGGTGCACGCTGCAAGAACTGCGCTCCCTCATGGAACTGCGAGGGACGGAAGCAGTAGTAAAAATTAAAGAGACATATGGGGAAACGGAGGGGCTCTGCAGACATCTGAAGACATCACCAACAGAAGGTAAGTGCTTTTCCCTTTCTGCAGTTGAATTGGGGGTTCTTGCATTTGTGTTCTACAGATAACGTGAGCAGTGGAGGGGGAGAGAGGCTTATCTTTAAACCTGAACAGAATTCTCCTAATTCTGCCATTATTCCTAGCTAGGACAAAACCAATGAAAAAACCTTCAGAGAAAGAAGATGAAAAGGGTCACTCGTTTGTCTAGCTTTAGCTAAGGCTAGGATGAGAATAGAAGAGGTGCTATTGATTCAAAATGCTAAATGCATTAATTTTTCTCTAAAAGGAAGCAAAAAAAATGAAAAAATCAAAATGCATTTATGGCATTCTAAAGAAGCTTTAACTTAATGTCCTTTTGGAGGTAAGAAGAGAGAGTCTTTTCTTCAGAAGCAATTTTAGGTATTTAGACAGCCTGAAGATATGCAGTGAAATTTCAGTGTGCGTATTATGCATCCTGGTAGACCAACAGGGAGCATATATATTTCCTGGTTACTAACCTTGCATAACTTTATTGCTATAGATAATTTTGCTCAGATTATTGTTGGACTGTATCTATGTTTAAATTGTTAGGGCTTCTTTTGCATTTGTAACAACTCCACTCTGGAATTTCTTACACTTATATATTCCAGTGGTAACATTTCAATATGTATTCTCATAAGTGTCTTCAGAGTCCTTTACCTGATCATCAGTCATTAATCTAGCTCTCAGCCACCATCACTGTATTTTTGTCTCCAAGGAATATTAACACTTTTGGAAATCATACAGTCTGTGAATCTACAATATTTACCTTGCCTTGTAAAGCAGTTAAGATGTTCATGTTGTTTTCTTTTTTCAATAAGTGTTAGCTTTCTCCTTTTCTCCTTTTTTTATATTTTTAAATTAATTATTTAGTTACCTCCTGTGTTTGAATATCTGAAAATCCTGAATTGTTGGTTTAATCATAAACATGTCAATCATAATGTCACACAGTGTGATACTATAAATGGCACTGGTTGATGTGTCCCAAAGGAGCAGCTATAAATGCCTGGTTTTCATATAAATTCTTTATGACCTTGCCTTTAATCTTATGCAGTCTCAGAATTGCCTAATCATTAGAAACCATAAAACTGTCAAAGATACCTTTTCAGCAAAAGATTACTGAGCAAATTTAGTAATGAAACAGGCAACAAACTTCAATAGTACTTCATCGTTCACGTGCCATCTTGCATTCCGGAGTAACGGGTGACAAGTGGAACATTTCTTAACAGATCTCTCCCTTTTTGTAGCTTCCCAGGTATCTGATACTTTAGCCAAAACCTCTTATTCTATCCGGAAATTGTGCCCAATGTTGAGGGGAGGAAGAAGGAAGTGACCCTGCCCATGTCTGGGATTCCCAGAGGTCCATCTGCTCGGAGTGGGCCAAAGTCATTGCACATAGGACAACCCGCTCTTAGAGAACGTGCATTCATTCTGCCAGGTCCTAGGAAGCTGCATATAGAAACTAGAAATTATCTCTACATGGTAGAATAATTTTTAATTTTAATGTATAAAATACCTAAATTTTAATTTGTAAATACCTTGCAAGGGATTCGGCGCCTTACATGATGCTCTAGATCAAGCCTCAGTCTGGGCGAGCCAAGAGCACTTGAGCGAGTTCAGTGAAGTTCTGCCAGCTTGTTCTCCTTCCTGCCCGTTCCCTGGGCACTTCAAAGGAAGCGCTCGTTGCATTATCTGTTCGATACGTGACATCAAGGAAACTTAATTCCTCATATCAGAACAGACTGTGTGGGTCCAACTAGCGTGGCATGCTGACTCCAGCAGTATCTATATCTGATCCTGCAGATAAGGTAACTTTCCTACGCCTTGCACATGCTTAATCACTTGGGCATTACGGAAAAACCTTCTGGCTTCAAGTAGCCTTAGAGTTGGGAAGACTCTGTTGTGTTTTAATTTTAAATTAGTCCATACAATAGGGATTCCCAGTGAACACTAGGCTTTGATCTTATTTTTCATTGTTTTGCTTGAAGAAATACTTTTAGAAGGGAGTGTTTCTGGAATATGTAATGTTGGACTTCAGAAACCTTCGTTGGAGGAGAATTGCCTGCTAGAATTTAACAGAGTATGTTGGAGGGATACGTTACACATAAGCATATGTTTAGACATATGGGCCTAGCCATTGTGTGTCTAACCACAATGAGGCAAGTCATGATGCTGTGAAGGTTATATTCTCTAAAATCAGGGTTTATTCTGAGAGGGGAAGTGATAAAAATGGAGCTTCTTACATGGAAAACCTTAAGAAGATCTTGCTGAGGAGGAATAAGTAGGAAAGAGT